TACTACTACTACTATTGTTACTACTACTACTATTGTTACTACTACTACTATTGTTACTACTACTATTGTTACTACTACTACTATTGTTACTACTACTACTATTGATACTACTATTACTATTGCTACTTCTTCATCAACTGCCACTATTATTGGTACTACTACTTGAACTGCTACTACTATTGCTACTACTTCTTGAACTGCTACTACTATTGCTACTACTTCTTGAACTGCTACTACTATTGCTGCTACTACATTATCTGCTACTACATATACTACTACTATTGATACTACTACTTTAACTGCTACTACATATACTACTACTATTGCTACTACTACTTCAACTTCTATTGCTGCTACTACTTATTGTACTACTATTGCTACTACTACTTTAACTGCTATCACTTATACTAGTACTGCTGCTACAAATAATACCATTGTTCTAACGCATGTCATATGAATCAGTTCAAAATGAAGAAATTCCACTTCACCCAAGAACTAGTTCATTTTAATGAGTCAATAAGTAGTCAAAGAGCAATCAAACCAACGTCTGCTCGAGCCAGCAGCTGCTCATGACTGACTGATGACTGACTGACTGACTAGCTTGGCTGATTGATTGTGTGCCACGCCCATATTGCATGCAATCGGGGCGAAATTGGCCCAGCTGCAAAATTTGGCACTAGGCCAAAATGCTCAACGCTTCAAATATCTGCAGATATTTGCAGCATGAGGCAATTGCCAGAACTTGCCAAGGCTTAGCCTCAGAAAGGGTGTGTGAGAGAGAGGGAGAGATAGAGAGACACACACACACACGCATATACACACACTCAATTACAACTAATAATGCGTTTAAATTTGCCAAAGTTGTAAATGACAGAGAAAACGCCCCAAGGCAACGACACACACACATACACACACACATGTGTATGCGGCAGTCGCCCTCTAGCTCTCTCTCTCTCTCTTCCTCTCTCCCTCTCTCTGTCTGCCTGTGTGTGCGCACTTCATGCCCTTTCATTATGCAACAATTTCAACGTACTCGACTCATCTCGTTCTGTTCCTTTTTTGGCATGCACGAAAATGTTTTGTTTGTTTAGTTTGGCGCGCATTTTCGCATTTTTCAGCACTTTAGACAGCGCACGTTTTTTATCACAATTTGCCGACTTTACCAGCAGCCCAGCCCAAGCCCCAGTCCCGGACCCAGTCCCGCTCCCTGGTTCCGGCCACCTCAACTCAAAACTTCCACTCACTTAGTTTCATTTTGCCACCATATAAAAGAAAACAATAAAAAAGCAAAAACAACAACAACAACAACAACTACGAAAACCAAAAACCAATTGAAAGCAAAGCGCAAAAAGCGCGCGCAAATGATGCAGGCAAAAACAAAAAAAAAAAAAAAAAATGCACCAAACACAAACAAAAATTTAGTTTTTTACATAGCTGCTGTCGCATGCCTGGGCGCCTGCCACGCCTCCCGCTGCCGCACTTAACCTCACTGTACGCCCAGAACCCTTTGGCTTACGTGCACTTTACAACTATTTTACAATTTCAGTGGGAGAAATTCCCTTTTTATATGCGTATACCCTGCATTCCCATCAATGTCTAATGGCAGTGGCAGCAGGTGCTACCGATACTTCTCCAGGGACCCATTGAACTCGATAACTAAACGACTTGGACATGGCGAATTCGGTATTTGAGGCATTTGAATCTTAAGCTGAAGAACTTTATATATTACCAGGCAGTGTGTGCCATAAAGAGTCATATCAACCATAATTTAACCCAATGAACTCGCGATCCATAATAGATAACAGGAAATCATTTGGAATGCCTGAGCTTTTCTGCTTAAACTAAAGAAATTTAACATTAAAATAGAGGTTGGAATATATTACTATCATAAATTTTAAGTTTCATGCGGTTTCTGCAAGTATAGCCCAACAAAACTCGAGTTCTATAAGAGCTAAAAAGAAAAATTTTGGTGTGAGCTCTACTTAACTCTGATCAGATATAGAAAATCTAATTATATTATTAGATATTCTATGTTAGATATTAACCCATCGAAATGGAACACTGTAAGAACTAGAAATATAAGATTTGGTATGTTTGCTGCTTATTTCCTCAGCAAAAGATTTTCACTATTAGCCAAGCAAATTCGATATGATTTACATTATATATGTATAACTTTTCCTCTCTAGCATGGGATATCTTAATGTCTGGTATGCCCTTCCGCTTGTTCTTCTTTTCCTACAGTCTTTTATATCAATTTTAAGTGTTTTATTTTTTTAGTCGGTTGCTGCTTTGCACGTCCTCTGCTCGACTTGTCGTCTAACTTATGCCATCTCATTTATCTTCGTAACTTCTTTTGCGCTTGGCGAGACTGGCGGACAGCAGCAAGGGGGGAGGCAGAGTGAGTGAGCTATCAGGCAGTTATTGCAATTTTTTACTCTCTTCCCCTCTCTCTCTCTCTCTTTCACTCGCTCTTTGTCTCTCTAACATAGTTTTAAGGACAACAGAAATGTTTTTTCCTTTTGTTCTGCCTCAAAAATAACACAAAAAAATAGAAGAAATTTGTAGTTGAAGCTTCAAAAAGTTTTCCTATGGGCTAAAAGTTTTGACTTGCATTTTTCGAATATGCATCAAACAAAAACTTTCTACGTTTTGCCTTAAGTTTTTCAGCAAAAAATTTAAGAAACCAAATTCGATTATATACTAGCCTATATACACTTTAGCTATCGATATTGCACGCGAAGCTGCTTATCGATTTTCTCAAGCTAGTACCAAAATATCGAATTGTCATTTCAGGAGCGTTTATTGAAAGTTTTTCAGACTTTTGTCGCAGAAAATTTCCATATAAATGTTTGTAAATGCCATTGGCTGGCATTGCTATAAAACATACCAAATTACATAAATGAGTGTTGTAAAATCGTATAATCCGTAGCCGTTTGTAAAACTGTTAAGGGATAGAGCTATCCGAATCACTATCCACCACTGGCTTGCCACACTGAAGCAGATCATTGACACGCATACAGATGCTCGCGTCTAGCTCATGGTTCGGATCTTGCATCCAGAAAAAATATCGATCTATCGCATTCTTATATTTGAGCACATAGATCCGGCCGGTTTTACAGGACTCGATATGTAGAAACTCAAGTTTGCCCGGATCAGTGATAATGTCCAGCTCTGGATATTTCGCATGACGTTCCTTCCAGCAGAAGTGAAGATGTTCACTGCCATCCAAATACAAATAGATCACGCCATGCCGTATATCGGGCTTCACCTGCTTGTCGATCAGATTCATGCGGCCCGCCTTAAACTCCAGCAAGTGCTCTTGGCCAACTGGTTTGGGCGGTAGAATTAGTCCATGTGCGTGGCCAGCACCAATGCTCGATATGCTCTCAGTTCCGGCATAGCTCTGCACATCCGTCTCTCTTGGCTCCGGCTCGCGCCCAATCGGTTCGCTCGTGGAATCCTCTGCCTTTGCATTGTTTTGGAGGTTGCCAACAGATCCAATTTGATTATTCGCTGGATTGGGCGCTTCGCAAACGTTCGCAACGATATCAGCGTAGTCCGTTTGTATTGCTTGATCTACCAACACAACTTGAAGCGGATGTGAATAGACATAGTGATTCTCATTCGCATCCAGTGTGTCTATGTGGGTGCTTATATGTTGGTACGTACTTTTTAATACGAAAAATTTAGATCTATTTGCTTTTTTTTTGTTCTGTTTAATTTTTGTTTTCTGCTTTTTTTTTGCTATCAATTGTTCTGACAAATGCTTACAGACTGTGAAATATCTGTCCAGCTGCTCAAATATCAATTAGAAGCCTACTTCGATATGTGTGTGTGTGTGAGTGTGTTAGAGTTTTTGTCTGCGCAAGTTTATAGCATACTTCTGGGCCACCTTCGACTGCAATTGACCTTTAATTGCGCACTTAAAAGCACATAAAAACGTGGCCGGAACATGGCCAGAACATGGTCAGCATATGTACAATACAAAAGCCACGTGCAATCGCCACACGTGTGTGTGTTTGATTGGGGCGTATTACGCGAGAGGGGGGCGTGTCGCGGCAGGTCGTAAGTGCGGCCAGCTTAGCTGCGCACAATTAAATTAAAGTGATGACTTATATAGCTTAACGTGCAACGCAAGCCACAGCAAACTGAGCCAGAGAGAGAGAGAGAGAAAGAGAGAGAGAGAGAGAGAGAGAGAGAGAGAGAGAGA